TGCTCCTAATTCAAGGTCACTGGTTGTGTAATTTTTTCCATGGACTTTGAGTTGGCGAGAGTCATATGCAATGACCTTGTTATCTGCATTAATACGCACCCCAAACCTAAATTGATGCATCGCAATATACTACGAAATCTTCAGTTCCTTCATGTAAGGATAGGATTGGTGCACTACACAACATCTGTTTTAACTTCTGGAATGTATCTTCATGCTTGTCTCCCCAGTCAAATTTAGCTTCTTTATGTGTTAATGTAGTGAGAGGCTTTGCTATCTTGGAGAAGTTTTCAATGAATCTCTGGTAGTAGCCTGCAAGGCCTAAGAGCGTACTTCAGTTGGGGTCTTTGGCGCATCCTAGTTCTTAATTGCTTCAACTTGTGTAAGATCCATGTTTATTCCTTTGTTACTCACCACATGCCCCACGAAGTGTACTTCTCTAATCCAAAACTCGCATTTGGGGAATTTAGCGCACAAATTTTCTTTTCTCAGTAGTTCCAAGATCTATTTTAGGTGTTGGTCGTGTTCTTCTTTGGTGCGAGAGTAAATTAAATGTCATCGATGAACACTGTCACGAACTTATCTAAGTATTGTTTGCACACATGGTTCATGAGGTTCATGAATACTGCTAGAGCATTGGTTAATCCGAAAGGCATAACTAGGAACTTGTAATGACCGTGTCGAGTCCTAAATGCAGTCTTCGGAACATCCTCCTCTACCACCTTCAGTTGGTGATATCCATATCTAAGATCTATCTTTGAATAGTAACATCATCCCTGAAGTTGATCAACTAGGTTGTCTATTTTGGAGAGTGGATAACGGTTCTTGATTGTAAATGTTGGATTAGGTGTCTAAGCCCATTACTATAATTGGTATGTACTTGACCCGAGAGTAGCACGGTCCATTTCGGGTTGCATTCACCAAAACAATTTGATAGGATGGATATTTGAGAGAGAGGTTATTTGTTTAAAGAAAAACTCTAAATTGAAACCAAAAAAAAAAAAATACTAAAACTGAACAAAAAAAAACCCTAAAAAAGACATAACTATAGTCCTCGAGACTAAACTAAGAAGATTGAGATCGGTTCCAAAAAGAATGGACCGAAAATGACCGGTCCAAAAAAAGATCTGCCCTAAACCGTGTGGGACGGGTCCGAAAAAAGACTAAAAAGATTGGACTGTTTCGAGACCGACTCGAGACCGGTCTGTGGCCGCCATGTGCATATCTACCTTACTTCAACAAAGATGGCTATATCATAGCTACAAACTAATTTCTGCTTATGAATTACACCATAGAACGGAAGGGGATCGAAGAGAAAAAAAATAGGGCGATAATGTAGCTGAGAACATCGATGGAGGCAGATAATACCAAATGTGGGATGAATAATGAAGGGGTGATACTTAATAGGGTTAGGGATTATATTTATTTATTTTTAATTTATATCTTTGGTCCCTAGAGTTTATTAATTCATAAAAACAAAAAAAGGGTATTTTGGTCTTTTTATTTAGACTTAACATCTAATTTCTAACGGAGTTAGACAATGTAATGCCTATTTTCCGAGTATGTTGTAGATCGCCAAGTTATTTTGAAAATAAGAAAGATGGTTTTGGAAGGGAATTGACTTCGCGACGGAGTTAGACAATGTAATGCATATTTTCCGAGTAAGTTATAGATCGCTAAATTATTTTGAAAATAAGAAAGATGGTTTTGGAAGGTAATCGACTCCGCGATGCGTCCAGGTGTTGTCGCGACATGTGCCATTGTAGTGTTATCTTGATGATGAAGAAAGTGTTTTGATGCACTGGAAGCTATATCTAGAGAATATAAGTCTTCTTGTCATCTCATATTTTTTATAAGTAGTAAAGTTTGCATCTTTATGGTTTTTGGCTTCTAGATCTAGTGTTTTAAGCATGTTTGGTTCATTTTGCTTAGATATTTAATGGAGTTTGGGAAACTCTGGTTTGTAAGTTGATTTGAGGACTTCTTATAGACTTGTTGAGGTGAAAAAGTGCATACATAAACTCTCTTTAATCCTTTCAAGAAAGACATGACCTCTTTTAGCTTTTTTTGGATATAGGGTTTGTGTTTAACATGTTAGGGGATTTTATGTTTGTTAATTTTGGATTTTATCCATTAGACACCTCCCCTAGACGGTGTCCGAAAAGTTATATCACCTGACTTAAAGGATTAAGCAGTTAATACAAGTGGCTAAATCACCTTGGAATCTCGATTCGACGACCCCTTTGTTGTGCGTGAAGGGTGAAGCCGCGATTTTTTTTACTGTAGTGGTTGCGTATTGGTAGCGGCGCGTTGACCTCTGATTATTTGATTATTGACTAGTTTGAATTTTGGTTAAACTTTGATGGACATAGAGTTTTGGACTGAACCTGTCATTAGTTATATGAGATACGTCTAATGGTGGATTTAGGTGGTTCATGATAATTGATTCACTCGTGATAATTTTGGCCACCATCCACCACCACCATTGCTACCGGCACCATCACCCCAATCCTCACTATCGTTACTACCAATGTCGCTACCACCACCACTACTGTTGCCACCACCACCACTACCACCACTATCGCCTCCATTACCGCCACTACCCACCACCTATCACTGCCACCATATAGGTTACTAAACAAAGTAAAATTAATAAAAAAGAAGGATATTTATGTCATTTTGCATCATTTCAATTATATTGTCTTCCAGCCAAACAAAATATGGAATTGGATTCCAATTCCATTTCTTGCAAAACCAAACAGGTTATGGAATTAGATTCTAGTTCCTGATACATTTTAATTCTTTGATATATTCCAATCCCTTCATAAACATTATGCAAACAAAGCGCTACCAAAAATATATGCAAAAATAAGAAGTTGCCAGAGATCCACAACCTAATTGGAAAAGGCAATGTAACTCATTTTAAGAAACAAATGTAATGTCATTTGTGTGTGGATGGTCTTAATTTTTTTCTTAAGTTCCAAATACAATTATTTTCCTTTGAGTAAATTATAGGGGTGAGTATGGTGCGGTTCGGTGCGGTTTTTGGCCAAAAACGAACCGAAAACCGCAACTTCGGTTTTTTGAAATTTAGAAACCGCACCGTTCGGTTTTGCGGTTCGTTTTTTTTTTTTTTTTTTTGCAGTTTTTTGTTAGTTTTTTTTTTTTTTTTTTTTTTTTTTTTTTTTTTTTTTGCCTTTTTACTAAAACTCAAGTAACTCAGCGAGTTACTTTGACTCACATGAGGAGTGCTAATCATTTATTGGAGATAAACCAATACCACCACCTCTAGGTTTGAAATCAAATTACATAACCACTCATCCAATATGTTTCTAATGCTTGATATAATAAAATTTTAATATAATATTTGTTTCACAAGTACATACGATAATATCAATTAATGTATTTATAAAAATGATACTATATCACTCGTATTCTTCATATTTAAATGTTAAAAAATGTCATAAACATTATTTGTTATTCTAAATACCACTGAATGTATGCTTAAAAATATATAGATAAGATAAATATTTATATTCATAGAAATTTTAATTGTCATAAGTTCTTAAATCTTACGAATATCAACAATTTATATATATATATATATATATATATATACACACACACACACACACACCCACATACATATGCGGTTCGGTTTTTTGTGGTTTTTGCGAGACTAGAAACCGCACCGCACCAAGTATTTTTGGTTTTTGCAAAACTAAAAACCGCACCATCGGTTTTCATTTCGGTTTCGGTTTTTCGGTTTTGGTTTATGCGGTTTTTTCGGTTTTTTTTGTTTGCGGTTCGGTTTTTTGCTCACCCCTAGTAAATTACACGAATGGTCCTTTAGGTTTATAGCTTTTCCCTAAAATGGTCCTTACGAATTTTTTTCCCTGAGATAGTTCCTAAGAAGCAAACCGTGCACACAAAAGGGCCATGTGACTAACTTTGTTAGCAAATTCTATTATGTGATTGTAAATGACAAATAAACCCTTTTTCTTTTGCACACAAATGGTCCTTAGACTCTCTCTCTCTTTCTTTCTCTCTCTCTCTCTCTCTCTCTCTATATATATATATATATATATATATATATATATATATATCTTAATTTCACCACCACTACCATACTCCGATCATAGCAAAACTTTCTTTGTGGTGTGAGTTCTTGTTCTTTATCTATGGAAGTTCTAAGATTTGGCCTTTTTGTTGTGTGTGTTACGGAACAGATGGAGGTTATCAGGAATGTTTTCCTTGGTTTAGTAATCCACCATGGTTGTAGGCTGATAGGATTGGAACGAAGGAAATGGAATCAGGGGTAATTCTAGGATTTTGCATATTTGAAAAGACTGTAATAGTAGTTTCACCATCTCCAGTCATGCTATAAGCAAAGATAATGGAAGTACAAGCGACGACATCTATTGTTGGCATTTTGTTGGATTAATCGGTTAAATGGAAAGTTTGTTTTATGTTAGGAAAACTTTGATTACAGACACTAGCTTTTCTAAGTTTTTTTTTTTTTTTTATTGGAATAGGAGTCTAATATCTTTAGTATAAATAGATATATAGGTTTCAGTTTTTTGATTAATCAATAAAATTTCGCAGGAAGTTTAGCTCTTTTTTGTGCTTTGTAAGTGTTCACAAGAGAACCAACTCTTTGTTTCTTTCTTTTACCTTGCTGCACAAGGTTTGATATCAACTTTTAGTTTACAATTGGTATTAGAGCAGTTTCGTTGAAAGGGGTGTGATTCGAGGTTGATTACAAGCAACCCCGATTTCTTTATTTTGGCTTGTGAGAGACTAACCAAAGTCGCGGAATAAACGGACGGGAAGAAGTCAAAGTGCGTGGCTTTGATTTAGTTCATTTTGTGGGCGACGGAAGATGATAAAGGTGGTCGTGACCTTGTCTTGTTGTCCGGTGGAAGAGTGCTCTTGGAACAAACTTGATTAAAGAAGTCGGGGTTAAGGAAAAAAGGATGTCGTTGGTTAAATAAGGAGGTTCGATGACGTATCAAGTTCCGATTTTGACTCCAACGAATTATCCGATATGGGAGCTCAAAGTCAAGTCGATTATGGATGCACACGACATATGGGAGACGGTCGTACCAAAGGCGTTAGGTGAAGCATCGAATCAAAAGAAGTCAAAACAAGCTCTTTCTTTTTTGTTTCAAGCGATACCCGAAGACATGGTGTTGCAAATGGCGAGTTACACCGAGCCAAAGAAAGTGTGGGATGGGCTAAAAACACGATATTTGGGAGTGGATCGGGTGAGAACGACTCGGCTTGCAACGTTAAAGAGAGAGCTTGAAAGTTTGTGCATGAAGGAGGGTGAAACGGTTGATGATTTTGTGACGAAATTATCCGGCTTAGCTTCAAAAGCAATGAGTCTTGGTTACGAGCTTGAAAAAGTTGATTTTGTAAAAAGGTTACTAGATTCAATGCCTAAGTTGTTTCTTCAAATCGCGGCTTCAATAGAGCAATGTTTCAAGTTAGATTCTATGTTATTCGATGAAGCGGTTGGTAGATTGAAGGCATACGAGGAGCGTATAAGAGGAACCGAGAAAATGGAGGACACTCAGGGTGGGTTATTGTTGGATAGTGAGGAAAAATCACATGTTTGTAAGCATTGTGACAATGGACGTTTAAATCAGGATGACTTTGGATGTGACCGGGGAAGAGGTCGGGGGTTCGGGAGAAGTCAAGATGGTAATAAACGTGTTTGGGATAAAAGTCACCTAGATGTTACAAATGTGGTGAGCTTGGTCACTATAAAAATGAGTGTCCTAAATGGGAAAAGGAAGAAGCGGGTCTAATCGAAGAGGAACCGATAATGTTTTGAATGAATGGCTTAACCGATTAAAGGGGTGATTGTTGGATTAATCAGTTAAAAGGAAAGTATGTTTTATGTTAGGAAAACTTTATTATATACAATAGCTTTTCTAAGTTTTGGTATTGTAATAGGAGTCTAATATCTTTGGTATAAATAGATATGTAGGTTTCAGTTTTTTGATTAATCAATAAAATATCGCAGGAAGTTTAGTTCTTTTTTGTGCTTTGTAAGTGTTCACAATAGAATCAACTCTTTGATTCTTTCTTTTACCTTGCTGCACAAGGTTTGATATCAACTTTCAGTTTACACTAAACACCTTACGTGCCTCGTTTAAAGATCCGCATTTAGCATACATGTCAATCAAGGCGTTCTGTTTAACAAGAGATGATATTATGCTCAATCTACAAATGAATGATCAGTCATCATCTTCCACTTATCTGAATAATAAGAAGCTGCAGAACTCTAAGAACAACAAAAAACTCAAAAATTAAAAGATATGAATGTGATTTAGGTATTTTTGAAGTGATTTGAATATAGAAGGGAGTTGGATTCTTGTTTGTCGGGTTCCAGCTTCTCTAATGCTAATATGTTGTCGACGACAAAGAGAGGAGGGAGATGGAGGGTTGTCGGAGACATCGCGTTTTCTGGCAAGCACATGAGAGAGGCAATGATTGATGCTAGAGTGTTGGAATCGGTCATGTTCATCGCCGATTTCCTACCACTGTTCCAACCACCTTCCTCTTCACTGGAAAACCAGCTTTCTTGAACTACTTCAAAGCAAAATCAACTTTTGTTAAACACCTGATTCTAGAATCGGATTGGAAGGGATTTGGGTCAGTATGTTTCGATAGATCCAAGAGAAGCTTATGTGAATTATAGAGATCTTGATCTTGGAACGAACGACAAGAATGGCGATTGAAGGCAAGTTCATGGGAAGAATGTACTTTAGACATGAACAAAACATTCCTGATCTTCAAGGGAAAAGTTTTTGATTCACAATCACGTTTCAATGTTTTTATTTATGGTAAGTCTGTTTTGTATTTGACAAGTTTTAGGTCTAAAATCCATGTTTTGTGTATCGATCGATCGAGAGATGACCATTTCTGTGCAAAAACAAAGGGTATATTCGTCATTCACAATCATTTAATGGAATCTGTTAACAAAGTTAGTCACATGGGCCTTTTATGTGCAATGTTTGCTTATTAAGGACCATCTCAGGGAAAAAAGTTTCGTAAGGACCATTTTAGAGGAAAACTATAAACCTAAATGATCATTGTGTAATTTACTCTTTTCCTTTTTTTTTCTTTTGGGGGCTATGAAAATTCTTTATGAAATAAAGGGGGTTTTCTGTACGAGACGTATTCTGAGAGGGTTTCTTGAAAATATGAACTCTCGAGGATATATATAAAGCGGAGAAGATTGAAAGTCTGTAGTTACCCCAAAGATTTGATTTCAAAAGCAAAAAAGGAAGAACACAGGAATAAGAGATCGTAAGGGTTTTCAATGAAGCTTGGTCTCGATTAAGAAAGGTAAAATTCAATCGGAAAGCCCTAATTTCTACATCTTCTTCTCTGCTACGATAAACCCTAAACTTCACCAACTAGGCTTAACTGAGCGAATCCTACTCGTTCTACTCAATCGAGTTTGAGAGCTGGAGTCCTGGTGAAGGCCAACATTATCCTCGATGGAGATAATTCAGAAGAATTCCGTTTGAGAATTGGTGTTTACCTGCGAATTTTATTATTCCATCCATATAATTTAAAATGTTCTGGAAACCCTCGTTATTTCGTTGTCTCCTTCAAACAACGATTCATTACATCTTGTTTCTTTGTCGTTTTCTTGCACCTCTACAAGCTTCCTTAGTTGATATGCTACATAAATATCTAATTCTGCTGATATGTTTCAGATAGATCAACTTTCCTCATGGCGCCAACAAGAAAGTCTAGAAGTGTAAATAAGCGGTATTCCGACTATGTAGAGGTCTCTCCCAGTAAAAATGTTGCCAATAAATCCGGACGGCAGGTGAGTATAGCTTATAGAACACGTCACAGTTTCATAAAAAGAATTTATTCGACATTAATCTCTGAACCTAGTGGTCTCGTTATTGAACTGGTTATTTATAGTTTTGAATTTAATACATTACTGTTCAGTAGTTCCTTCCCCCAAAACAAATTATTTGGTTAAAGCTTTTCACAGTGGAACTCATTCTGTTTGGCAAGAGGGCTTTTCCAGTCTTTTGGTTACCATCACAACAGTAAATAATCATACATTTCTATTGCTGATGATATTTACAGATTAACAATTCTTGCTTTCACTTATCTGTGAAAACTGACTCTGTAGGAAAACTTAAGCACATGCTTGTTTTATATGTATTATCATATTATGCATCTGTTGTGCTGTATATAATATAGTACTCTAGTAAAACACATCGTCCACATCATCTTTTGTTTTATATGTTATATTTTATCTTGTCCATAATTAATACTAGTTTGATAGGTTCAATTTTGGTTAATCAATTACAAATAAAGTTTATATCTTTTCTTGGTTGGGTTTGAGACATGTATGAAGATACAGTAAGCATGGGGCAGTTGCATGGTCTATAACATGTTTGCTATGCATCCTTGACTCCTTGTTCATTATTTTTTGATATTTCTTTGATGATTAAGGAATATTCAACATACATCAGTTAAATTTTCCTCTTCACTTGACATGATATTCTGGCAAGAAAATTTGGGGATCCTGTTTAACACCTAATTCCATTGTGCAGAAGAGGAAGCTTTCTGACATGTTAGGGTCCCCATGGACCGATGAAGAGGTTGAGCGCTTTTATAAAGCCTATAGGAAATATGGAAAAGACTGGAAGAAGGTATGTGCATCTTCTCTTCTTCTTCTTCTTCTTCTTCTTCTTCTTCTTCTTTATATGGTGAACTATCATCATCATAACCAATTACATCTACTTATGTACCTCAGAATCTGATTGGCTTATGTGCATTTGGTTTTTCCATTGAAATCTAGGTGGCTGCAATGGTGCGCACCAGAAACTCTGAAATGGTTGAAGCCCTTTACACAATGAATAGGGTAATTATTCATATTTTCAAGTATCTTTAGAAAAAGCATTCATTCTTGAGTATTTACTTTATAATGCTTCTGATAGTAGCTTTCAGGATTGAATATTAACTTTTTGACACTTGTGATTTCCAGGCATATTTATCCTTGCCAGAGGGAACAGCTTCTGTGGTTGGGTTCATTGCAATGGTATCTGATCATTATAATGCCATGGTAAGATCATATATCACTTTTCTGAATGTGATCTTCTACTTTAGCTTCTAAATGTTTGATTTCATCTTCCTTTTATTGACAGGAAGGAAGTGATAATGATCAAGAAAGCCACGATATTCCAAAACCAATTCACAAGCCTAAAAAACGTAGCCATGGATTGCTTCAACAAAATGGTGGTGAAGAACAATTACATTCCAGATTAGTTGTTGGCTCAAGTGGTAGGAGTTTGCCACAACTGAAGAGAAGGGAATCTGATGGTAATAACTAATAAATATTGTTGGATTAATATCCTCAAATATGATTATTTAATTGTTTTTTTTTTTTTTTTTTTTTTTTTTTCTTTTTTTCAACTTCTAATAGTTTGAAAACAATGTAGGATGCACTGTTAGAAAAAGGACACCCCGTTTCCCTATAAATCATGCATCTAGAAGAGACAACAACAACATTGGAAATTATCCCTCACCTTACAAAAGAAGTCAAAGGAGAGAGGTTGATGATGTGGCACATGGTGCTGCATTGGCACTAACTGAAGCTTCACAAAGAGGAGGCTCTCCACATGTTTCTCAATCCCCATACCACATGAAGTCCACTCCATTGAAAGGCAGACAAAAAATTGTATGTTTTTTTTATTAAGTTTTTTTTTATTTCTTTGTTAGATGCTTTCTTTAATCTTTACATATTAAATTCCATTTACAGTTGGATACAGTGAGAACAAAGCGTCATGGTAATTTGATTGATGAAGAATTATTTGAGGGTAGTTCTGGAAGTGGAGGAGCTGAAAATGAAGGGTACCAGAAAGGGAGAAAGTTTTATGGGCAAAAAGACGATAATGACCTTGATGATGGTGGGGAAGCGTGTAGTGGCACAGGAGAAGGACTTGCTGTTGGTGTGGGTGGGAAATTTGATGAAAATATTGAACACTCATCACAGGGTAAAAGAAAAAAGAACAAGAAACTTCTCTTCAGAGGTATTCTTATTAATGTAATCATGTGAAACAATCTTAAATGTTTAATCGAATGACTAATTCTTTCACCTAATTTGCTCAGATGAAACTTCTGCATTGGATGCACTACAAACATTGGCTGACTTGTCATTGATGATACAATCATCAAAAGGCGATGGTAAACTTAAACATGATAATAGAATGGAATGACCTATTCCATTCCTTTGTGATGATTCTGATTTTGCAAATTCTGTGTGCAGATTCACCTGTATTAAAAGAGGATAAGCCAGCAACGGGTACAAATGACAACAACGCCCCTGGAAGACCTGGTTCTACAAGCAACCGGAGACACAAAACTAAAGTGTCAGTTGAGAAAGAGAAAGTAGCAAATGAGTTCCCTAGAGGTGAATCTTCTAAATCAGGAAAGTCAAAACCAGGAAGGGAAGTAAAAGTTGATTACAAGGCTTTATCTGAAGGAAAACAGAAAAGAAAAAACAAGTCCACATCTTTTGAAGTTTTCATTGATGAAGAAAAACCTACAGATAAACTCTTACATTCCAATTCCAATGCCAATGCCAATGCCAATGTCAATGCTCCTTTGAAAAATAGTAAATCCACAAGACTTGTGGAGTATTCTTCTTCAAATAGCAACACTTCAAGAACAGGTGCTGACTCAGCAGTATCAACAGCAGTGGTTCCAGCTTCTGATGGAGTGGAATTGCCATCCAAAAGACGAAAGAAACGTAAAATGGATCGAAATATAATATCAAAAACTGGAGAAATGAAGTTGAATACAAAGTCTGAAACCCTAGAAGGAGCAAACAACTTGAAGGTAGTAGTCATCAATCTTCTCTTCTATAAAAAGACTATGATACCCTCGTTGCTCGTTAAAGATATTGAAATAAATAAAAATGAAAATTGCAGGAAAAGGCTTTTCATTGCCTCTCATCTTCTATGGTGCGTAGATGGTGTACTTATGAGTGGTTCTATAGTGCAATTGACTATCCATGGTTTGCTAAAAGAGAATTCGTGGAGTATTTAAACCATGTTGGATTAGGGCATATTCCAAGATTAACCAATGTTGAATGGGGTGTTATAAGAAGGTAATTTTATATCTTTCTTTTTGACTTTTGACAGCTGTTGAGTGTTGTCTATACATAAAGATTCAAGATCTTTAACATTTTCTTGATTTTTATTTTTTAGTTCATTGGGGAAGCCTAGAAGGTTCTCGGAAAATTTCCTGCGTGAAGAAAGAGGAAAACTTTGGCAATATCGGGAATCAGTACGTGAGCATTACACGGAGCTTCGAAGTGGGGCCCGGGAAGGACTACCAACTGACCTGGCAAGACCTTTGTCAGTAGGTCAACGTGTGATTGCTCTTCATCCAGAATTAAGAGAAGTTCATGATGGAAGTGTGTTAACTGTTGATAATGATAAATGTAGGGTTCAGTTTGATCGACCTGAGTTAGGTGTTGCTTTTGTCAAGGTAATCTTCTTTCTTAATTCTTTCTAATCATCTTATCATCCCATCTTTTACATTTATACTAATAAAAACACTACTTTTTTTTTTTTGAAGGATGTTGATTGTATGCCTTTGAATCTGTTGGATAACATGCCCGAAGCTCTGAGGAGAGAGATGAGTGCACTTTATAGATTTTCTATGATTTCTGGAGAGCCAAGGTTGCCACATCATCATTTGGTGCATACTTCGAGTGAGCATTTCGAACCGGGTCCTACTATTGCTTTGATGAATCATCGACTGGTTAGTTTTCTTAAAATTATTTTTGTAAAAAATACCCGAACATGTGTTAATAAAATTAAAAATTATGCGTTGTTTAGGGACAAAATGGGTCTGGTCCACCTCTTAAAGCTGCAGACAATGTTGTTATCTCCCAGCATCAGCATGCAGCAGCCTCTCAAATTCAGGCAAGAGAAACCGATATACATGCACTTTCTGAGCTTACTCGTGCTCTTGATAAAAAGGTATTTCTTTCTTTATTATTTCTTCTCTATAAATTAAATTAAATTTCTAATTCTTATTAATTCTGATTCGAATGAATTCTACTAGGAAGCAATATTGAAGGAGCTTAAGCTTGTTAATGACAGCTTGTCAAGTCACAAAAACGAGACAGGTGTCGCCATGAACGTATCCGAAAACTTCAAAAAGGAATACGCAATGGTCCTATTACAGCTCAAAGAAGCCAGCGATCAGGTATCATTTATTTCATAATTAATTATTATTAAATTTAATTCAAACAAATAAATCTTATCAGGTTGCTTCCGCTCTCGCAAATTTGAGGCGACGCAACACATACCCAGGAATCCCGACGCCTACGTGGCAAAAACCTAATCCCAATTCTGGACCTGTTGTGGACCCCACGACTTCTAATCATGACAACAACTTTCCTTCGAATAATCAATTGGCACCTAATGTGATTGAAATTTTGAAAAGTTCAAGAAACGAAGCACATAAACTTGTACATACTGCTTTGCAGGTAATCGATGGTTTATCTGTGTAAACGTTAATTATTAATTGGTTTGTATTTTAATAACCTTGTTACTCTCAGGGAATGTCTAAAATAAAGGAGGAGCATAATAATAATGTTAGGTCAAGTGTGGTAGCGGTTTTGGATTGTCTTGGTGTGGGAAAAAACCCGAGTGAACATGCGTCATCATCATCATCTATCAGATCTTCAGAGCAATCGAATGGGAACATATATAATAATAAGCGTGTAACGAATGAAATTGAAGCGAAAATCCCGTTTGATCTTATCGTGTCTTGTGTTGCTACGTATCACATGATACAGGTGAGTGAGTAGTTACTTATAATATATGTTAAATAATGGAAGAAGTATTTAATTTAATTGGTTTTTGTGGATGATGATTGTGCAGAGTTGTACAGAGAGACAATACCCACCAGGGGATGTGGTGCAGATGCTGGATTCAGCTTTTAGAAATTTGCATCCACAAAGCCCTCAAAACCTTGGGATATTTAGAGAGATTGAAATGTGCATGGGAAGAGTTAAAACGCAGATCCTTGCTCTCGTTCCTTCTTAGCCAACCCAATCCAATTTTGGACTTGTGTATCTGGTTATCAATTTGCTATTATTATTAAATATTATAAAATATTATTACTACACCCATTCTGTTTCTCTAGCTAATAATTACTTCTTGTTTATACAGAAGAAGCCAAGTTCTGGATATATGTGTTAACAACTTGCGCTTTAATTTAGCTACACTTGCTAAATTTCTAATCAACAATGTAGCAAATCATATATCTTTGTTTTCTTGCCTTTTTATTTTATTTTATAGATTGAAAAATCAACATACAAACAAAATACCTTGAAGGAAACAGTCTATAGTTCCATAACTGCCACTATATTTAATACTTTGGTTCTGGTTCTCTTTTTCTTGCTGCAGTTGACCATTAATATATATACTTAAGCTACCTATGTTTGTAAAAGATTTCAGTTTAGTAGGTGTTGCGTTGAAAACTTACGTGGCTTCATATTCTTATTAACCTATATGATGACGTATGTACTTAATATCTCTATGAAACTTATTTATAGGAAGCAATATAATATGTAGCCTATGATTTTTCATTGGGTAAATGCCACTATATTATATTGTTTTGTTTTTTGTTTTTTTTCTCTTTATTTTTATTATTTTTATTTTTTGCATTTGAGAGGAAGGAAGCCTTAAAAACGCTATGCTTAAAGCCATCTTGTTCAAAGTTCAAAGTGGAAGGGGTGAGTTGGTTAACCCCCGTCATACTCACCATATTTTAAACACACGTCATTAAAATCAATCCACCTAGGATGCTATGTAACCTTCTCGTTTAATGAACTTGCTATGCAAAACATTTTATAAAGAAACATCCAACTGTTTCCCCCTTTTTGTTGTACTGTTTGTATAAAAAGTCGATATCATGGCCGTTTGCATGAAGATCGAACTTTACTTTACTGGGTTTTTTACGAGAAACCCCGAAATTAGTAACGGATGGAGCGGAACAAATGTTCGAAGATGTTGATTTTACTGGAATGGATGTGAATGAGTTTGTTGAGTTCCTATAAATATTTGCAAATGAAAGGTGTGTAAATGTTTATTTTTGTATGCTTGAAATAGACTTTCCTGATGCATTAAGGATATTAGCTACTGAAATAGACCAGGACTTCATCGAAGTTGGGCATGCTGTTGGTTGTGTCCTGATGTATACATGGATCATCTAGTGTGAATGTGCATCAGTGGATTATCGATGAGCAACTTGATGGGAGCGGTGTGGAAGACAATCATTCTGAGGGAGCTATTCAGAATGACCTGAATGAATTGCAAGGTAATATACACGATGACCTTGAACACGTTGATTTTAATCCAATGACCAAGTCCATGAACGATGTGTTTTTGAGCAAGCTATACCCAAATGTGCAGTTAACCCCAAACAATCCACCTCATGAGGATCCTTATTTTAAAATGGAAGACAATGAGGTAAATCTTGACGAGGTTACTACATACAATGAAAATGTGCATTGGAAAAAACAAAAACCTATGTTAGAAATACGATTTGATAGTACAAAATAGTTAAATCATATGTTATATAATTATGTTGTTACTAATGGTCATTAGTTGTGCTACAAAAAATGACAGTAGAAGACTTTTAGTTAAATGTTGTTCTGGGTAGTGTAAGTTTAGGCTGTGGGCTTCATTTTCCAGATTAAGTCCCTTATAGATGATCATAATTGTGTAAGAAAATTTAAACTTGGATCAATTTGTTAGCTATGCTTGGATTGACAACCATCTCACAACTGAGTTCTTACAAAAACAGAAAATGAGTGTTAGGATGCTCAGGGAAGAGGTGAAAAAGACTTTTGGTATTGATGTAAGCAAGGTTCTAAATGGTGTGCGGCGTGGCGTGGTGGCAATGTCAAGCCTCAAGCTTAATGAGTCATGGTGAGCCATGACGTTTTTCAAGGCGTGATGTAAGACGGCGATTTTGTATTAATCTAAAATTATATTACCACATAAATATACATTTATATTAAATATAACTACTTTTTAGAAGTGTTAGATCAATAACTATAACAAAAAGTTAACAAAAACCACAATACTTGTATCTCCGATTAGAAAAGACATAACAAAGAGCAAAGAACCGTGTCTCAAACGAAAAAACATGCGCCATAACACGCTATAACGCGCCATGACGCGCCGTATCACACATTGCCACACACCACGCTTAACAACAACGTTATCATGCTTTTCGTAATGGCGAAGCCGCGCCTCACACCATGGCGCACCTTGGCGCGTGCCATGACGCACCTTTTAGAACACTGGATGTAAGTATGGGTTAGTGTAGTAGAGCAAAAAGCATGCTATTGAGCTAATTGAAGGCACATTGATTGAGCACTATACAAAGCTTTGGTCATAGGGTGAGGATATAAGAAGATCGAACCCTGGATCAACTATACAAATCGATATCAATAGTATGCCAGATGGGAAAACTTATTTCAGTAAGTTTTATGTATGTTTTGAGGGACTAAAGCAAGGTTGGAGCGGTAGTTGTAGAAGAGTAATAAACCTGGATGGGTGGTTCTTAAGGGGTTATGTACTCGAGATTTAATATGTGCAGGTGGAAGGAATGCTAATAATCATATATTCCCAATTGCATGGGCAGTTGTTTGTGTGGAAAACAAAGAAAATTGGAAATGGTTTTTGGAGAATTTAAAAGATGACTTAGGAAGGGCTAATGGTTTTGGATATACATTGATGTCATATCAGCATAAGGTATGTTACTTGTATTCTATTTTTAAATGATATTTACTTGTATTGTTTTACCAGTTCAACTCTATATGCGAAGGGACTATTGGAAGTTGTGAAAGAGATTTTGCCTAGTGCTGAACACAGACAATGTGCAATGCATATTCTTGCCAACTACAGGAAAAGATTCCCCAGAGTACGTTATGAGAAGATGTTTTGGAAGACATGCAAGGCATTTAGTGAGCCTTTGTACAATACAACAATGAATGAATTACAACTTCTCAATCATGGTGTAGAGCTTTCTTTAAGGAGGGCAAGATGTGTTATGCTGTATAAAATGGATTGTCAGAGAGATTTAACAATGTCATAAGAGATACAAGGAAAAAACCAATCATCACAATGCTTGAAGAGATTAGATTTTATGTTATGGAAAGGCAGTTTCATTTGAGCATGAAAGACACTTCATGGTCAGATTTTCAACTATGTCCAACAATTACATCCTTACTAAATCAATTGAAAAAAGCTCAAAGGTAAACTTAGTTTTAGTTTCTTAACATCATAAAAAATACTAAACATAGACTAACTTTTAGACAATGTTATTAGATATTGGCAAGTTTTACCAACTGGTTTTAACCGGTTTGAGACAAGAAACTTAGCAGTGTCTTATATGGTGGATTTAGATAAGAATACATGTTCTTATAGAGTATGACAATTAAATGGATATGAGTGTGTGCATTCAGTTGCAACTATCTCTTACCTAAACAAAGATGTGGGAAATTATGTGGATCCCGTGTTCTTTGGGGATGTTTACAAAAACACTTACAAGTATCAAATGAATGGGATGAATGGAAACAATATGTGGCCAAGTACCGAATTCAAACCACACAACCACCTTTGAAGAGGAAAATGTCAGGCAGGCCTAAAGTCAATAGAAGGAAGGACCCAGGTGAAAAGACTACTAGACACACTGTGTCAAAGGTTGGGAAGAAAATTATTTGCAGTGTGTGTAAACAAGTTGGTCACAACAAGGTTGCATGTCCTCAAGTTGAGAGGCCCAAAAAAACTCAAGGTGAAGAGAAAGAGATCAACTACTAAAGGTGGTAATGAAGAGGAAGGAAGTGGTTCAAAAACAACAAGTGCACGTAAATGGAAGCAATCTGAGAGGATTATAAAGAAAAAATTGGCTAAAAGGGTTAAAGGGAAAAATGGAGAAGGCAATTAAGGTAACAATCCAATGAATATTGAATAGAGATAAGTGCTTGTACGATGTTTGATGGGTTAGTTAAGTTTGTTTCTTATAGTACTATATTGGTTGGTTGTTAGGACTAATATGTGTGTGGTCCCATACGTTTATTGTCATTTGCATGTTTGAATGTAATGGACCTTTATGTATTGCAAGTGTTTTATATGGTATGTGTTTGTTGCATGTTATTGTATGTACACTTATATCACAAACAAAACGATGACACACAATAGCATGGCATTTTCATTTAATAGAAAAATGATTACAAATCCGTTACATATGCATTACAAATAGATGGTTAAACATGAAAGGAAACATGATAATACATCCATTGACATAACAATAAAATTTCATTGCACATCCATTACAACTTATAGACTAGTATCACAAAGAAAACAACCCAACTTAGAAATAACCATAATTTCATCTTCCTAACATCCGATTGAAGCTTCTTATTTTCCCTAACCAAAGTTTTAATCAAACTTGCGTCACCACTTGTGTTCGTAGTCTGCACTTCATTTGCCCAACATATAAAACCATCATGAGGCCCCTAAAAAGTTGAATGTTTTTGGATTAAATTACCAAACCCATAAAATGTTTATGTAAATTTAGGTCAATAGTTGAACGAAAATGCACTTGACATTTACCTTTTTGGGGAAAGCATAAAAGAGTCGACTAGGGTTGGGCTTAGTAGTTGACGTCCATAAAATTGCTTCAAATCCACATGAGCATTCAACTAATTTCATTGATCCCTGCATTTTAGTTAGGTCAGTTGAACAGTAACAAGAAGAGGAGGGCAAAAATAGGTGATTATGTCCACATATGTGTCTCAAACGTGAATATATACGAGGGTATATTGTGAAATGACGAAATTACTCCCCTCACCCCGCCCCCTCTTTGACACTAAATGACTGTGATCGGAAACCCTTTAAATGATTATAACAATTGATATTTAAATGATAATAACGATTGATATTTAAATGATATGAACGACATAATTTCCATTAAGCAAATCAGGTTACATAATTACTTTATACAAAATTGCATGTCTTAGACATGTCTTCAATCACCTTCGCTAAAACAAACACATAAACCCTAATGTCACACCCCAAAACCAAGAACGGCGGAAACGTTCTGGGGCGGAGGACGTCATGTAAGTATCACAACACAGTAAATGTAAATAAGCAAACAACATCATCCATTGCATTAAATATATAATTTTAATACACGTGTGTTCTGTACATTATAGACACCAAAAATAACGTATATCAAAATAATAAGATGAGTCTTGAATGCGCTCCATCTTCTCAAAAGCTGGCCTTGGTACCTGTCTACTGATGACCTGAGAATACAAGTTATTTTGAAAGAGTTTATCAGCATTAAGCTGGTGAGTTCATAAGTATTTTTGTGTCGGTATTTGTCATCCAAATGTTTGAACATGTATAAAGTATAAGTTTGTAAAATGTACGTAAAGATTTGCAATTATCTGTAAAAGTTTGAATCTCTCAGAAAAACCTATATTTTCTATTAAAGTAGCCTTCTACCAAGGCTTAACTGTTTTGTATGCTCATTTGATGTAAAAGTGTGTAACTTCCCAAATGTAACTATCATTTAACAAAATATAGTTTGTACATAAACGTTTAAGTGAGGTTATCACTAAAAATATGTAATGGGTAAATTATTGTAGTACTGTAGCCTTGTATTATAAGAACTACTGCTGTACTAACTACCTTAAACCAGATTTATATTAAGGCATTACGTGATAAATTGCACCATACTATCGACTAGTAACAACGACAAATGAATGGTCGTAATAACGGAATGACGTTTGGCACCCGCAGACCTGCAGGTCCGGCTGTAGCTAGCAGCAAGGTGTAGGATTGTCAATCCAGTATAGATCTATACGCAAACTCACGCTCTCCCTTCAAGAGAATTCTGGCTACAACTCGAGCCATGACAGTTAAGTCATGCTCCGATTTAAATCACAATAATAAAGTATTCATGTATATGTACTGTTTCTCGTTCTAGTATATGTATATGTATTGTTTCTCGTTCTAGTATATGTATATGTATTGTTTCTAGCATCATTGTACATGTATTGTTTCTAGTATATGTATATGTATTGTTTCTAGCATCATTGCATAAGTATTGTTTCTAGTATATGTATATGTATTGTTTCTAGCATCATTGTATATGTATTGTTTCTAGTATATGTATATGTATTGTTTCTAGCATCATTGTATATGTATTGTTTTATGTATTGTGTTACCCTGATGGTAACTAACTATTGATGTACTGATAAATATGAATATGGAAGTACTTTTATGTCTATACATGTATATATGATATATAACTAATGTTGAAACGACCTTCGGATGGTCACCCGAAATCCCACCAGACCACATCTCAGTGCGCGAAAAGGAAATAGGGCGGATGGCCTTCCTAAGCCCTTTAAACATTACTTATATATATATATATATATATATATATATATATATATACACATATATGGGCATGCAATTTATAAGAAGTAAAACAAAGTTTAATAAAAGCATTTGATAAGTAAAAAGAGTTTGTAAAACATTTGAAGTGAAACAGTTTGATAAAAGTTTGAACATTGGTAAAAATCGTTGTTTTCCTAGTTATTAATCACATGTGATTAAATGCAATCACATGTGATTGAAGCAATAACTATAAGTATTTGACTTGTATTCCCCCCCATAAAGTATTTAAAACATTTAAAATCATTTCAAAGGTTGATTCAAGGGGTATGAACTCACTTGTGGTGAGTCGTTTGAATTGCAGTGTCGGATACCGTGCTAGGTGGCAAACGGAGACTTGTTTACTCGCACGAGCCTAGTTATCATATAATAAGCATATATATAACTAATTAGACAAATAATAACTTAAATAAATAAGTTAAGACACTTAGGAAACATGTAAACACTTTTATGAGTGTTTAAGGTTCAAATGGTTGCATCTAAGTTGCTACGGGACAAGGCAAAAGGGTTTGAAACATCAAATGGCCTTGCATAGGAGTTCACCACCCAACAAACCCCACACCTTGGAGTTTACGGCCGTAAACTCATGGGTTTATGGCCGTGAACTCCTCAAAGGGTGGTCTTGGGTGTTTTATGGTGCTATCTTGATCCTAGAACACTCCTAGCTTTGTTGGAATAACACATGAAGTAGTTTAAGGCTCTAGAATACCCCATAGTGGAGTTTTCGGCCTAAAGTCCATTCACCCTAGAGTTTACGGCCGTAAACTCCTATGGGGTGATGGCTTTTAATTGTTTTGAGGCTCTTACACATCAAGGATGGCTTCCATGAATTTATCTAAGGCTAATGGGGACAAGAGGCACACTTTTGTGCCTTCACTTGGAGTTTACGGCCCAAGATATGTTCCTTGGCCGTAAACTCCTTTCAAGGAGTGATTTTTATGTGTTCTACTCTCCATTCTAGTCCCAAGTACTCAAGGTAAATTGTCTTAAGGCCTAAGGTGTGCTTGGAATGATTTTTACCCTTAGAAAAGGGGTTTACGGCCCAAGATCCTTCCTTGGCCGTAAACTCCTATAATTCTATCATTTTGAAGTGTTTTGAAGTCCAAACTAAGCACAAGTATTAGTGGTTAAAGTCCTTAGGCTCAAGGAGGCAAGTTAGGGCATGTTTGACCCTTAAAAAGGGGTTTACGGCCCAAGAAAGTTCCTTGGCCGTAAACTCCTCTAACTTGTTGATTTTGGATGCTTTCTAGTCTATAAAGATCATACACAAGGTCCTTTACACGTTGTCTAACACGGAATCGGGACTAGGAAGCCTTAAAGTTCCATTTTGGAGTTTACTCCCCAAGAACGTTCTTGGGCGGTAAACTCACGGATCTTGTATTTTGGACATGTAATTGATGTTATAAAGCATATAACAAGTATTAAAACACATTTAGGAAAGTAGACTCACAATCTGGGATGAAAACCCGAAGATCCGTCAGAGAGAATTGGCTTTTCTCTAGTTGGAATTGTGAATAATGAATTAATTAAATTCAGAAATCTATTTATAGTCCTGGAATATTTTGACAGAAAATATTTTTATTCCAGAAGTCGGACTATAACATTATGAAACTTAAAATGTTCAAGTTTCACAATTACAGGAGCATCCACTCTCCTGATACGTCCAGAAACGTAAACCCTAATGTACACAAACTTGTTCGGACAAGTATGGAATTTACAGAAATTGGACTAGCTTCTATTGAATAGATAATGTTCGTACAATGGAAATTTCGGGTTGTCACACCTAATACAAACACTTTACTACCAAAAGACGACACACATCCATACCTAATCAACACAAACACCATGACCACCAACATATCCCTTCTTTTAAACAACATATCACTTGTTCACAATACGAAGAACCTTCTCCACCATAAAACCAAAACTCACAATCACCAATACAGTCAACGAAGTCAACTTTTTCTCCGTGTTCTCAATCTGACGATGTAATGCGAGTGACTTAACCCTGCTTAACACCAAATCTCGACCCATTTCTTCTTCCAGACGGGTGACTTCCATTTTTCTATTTTGCAATTTGTGCTCCACAATCACAATAAATAGTATGCAAATCGCCGAAGTTGAAACAATCTCTTGAATTTATAGATATTGAATCCGGTGAATGTGGTGGTGGGGTTGCCATCGTGATTCACATGAAAGTGAGGTCTTGTCGGATTGTCGGTATCCTTTAGTGGAAAATGGGCTTGAAGATTTAGGGTTTCATCAAATAAGCCATCCCTCTTATTGATTGATGGTCCACAGTGACCCTTAGGTCCCAAACAAAGAACCTGTCAAACTCAATGACATGTCCACGAGTTAACTCATAGTTGATTCAAACTTAACTCACTTGCTGATTTTTATTATGATGTGTATGGTTTACCTGTTAAAACAAGTAGCTGGACCACTTCAATCGGTAAAATAAGATTTCGTTCCTCTCAAATGAAAAAAAAACACTATAGGGACCATTTAAACCCTAACTTATGAAATGATTGGACTATAATGATATTTACACTTCTTCGTTTAGAAAATGTCTAAGTTACGGTCCAATCTTTGAAATTTTATATGTATAGGCGGTTGACAAAAATTGCGCGGGACTGTTACTCTCAAGCATCATTTTTTAAATATTCTAAAGTGACCATTTAACCATACTTTTGTCAAAAACTATTTATTATTCATTTTAATAGATCGGTCATATCTCTGCCTTTTTGTTATTTATTTTGCATGTAGGTATCTCCATTATATAAATTATACAAGTTACATACCAATATTTTGTATTGGTTTACTCGGTAAAAAAAAATACAAGATTCAAAAACCTACCGTAACAAATGGGCCATTTCGTTAATTATAAAATTCAGAGTTACAAAAGTATTATAAATAGGTGTAGGATTACTTAAATCAATGAATCCTTTACACACAACACAAGCTAACGATTACTTATGTATGCCATATGATAATCTTGTTTTGTAAATTTACTTTCACCAAATTGGTCAACTGTTTACATAATAATTCAAGATTAGTATTTAGTAACAACCAAATGCGTTTGTAACATGACTTTTCGAAGTCAACATAATTGGTTTCAAATGCACTCATGGTAATAGATCTAGTGATCTACTAGGATTAAATTAGGTATCACGCCACTCCTCTTTCTCACACATTCAATGCAAGAAATAGATAACAATTCATTTTCATTTCTTTGTTGTATTATAATTTATACATTATGCATCTTATTTTTAATTTGTTCCATTACTATAGTATATTGTCATTTTTTTTTCTTATCAACACATTATACTTTAGACAACCTACTTACTTTTTTCCTATCATAATATTATACTTTGAGATAATCTTCTAAAATTTATCAGTGCAAATTGCTTTGAATTAAAAAACATATAACAAATAATAAATTGGATACATTCCTCAAAGTATAATGCTGAAATAAGATGGAATGAAAAATACACAAATAAATGAAAGTACATTGCTTCTTGTATTTAACCTCTTTTCTTGTTTGTACATATTTTGAAAAATATATCCAATAATAGCAATGTTCATTGTTTTATATTTGGATGACATTACTATAATTAAGTTATATAAAAAAGAAATAAAGTGACCACATTAAACAAATTAATAATAATACATTGTTGATCCTCACTTTCTTACATTTAACCCTAAAAAAAATAATTAAAGTAGTCTACATATAACAAAAAAATGACTTTAAAATGTTGCAATTAAAAACTACAAACAAAATGGACAACACGAACAATTCGATGTCAACTAAAACAAACAAACAAGTGTCAAATTTTCATAATGACCTCGGAGGTTTCTCCAATAAAGCAGAAAGAAAAACCTCATCTTTAGACTTATTCGAAATAGCCCATTTATGCTTCTTATACCTAAACTGCAGAAACATATACATATAATCATCCAAATCCTTCCTGCTACAAAAAAACCGGTCCACCCACAACAACCCACCCGGTCTCAAAACCCGGTCCCAATCAAACAAAATAAAATCCATCAACTGCAAATCAATCCACCCATCCATAAACCCAGTCGTATGAATCAAATCCATCGTATTATCAAAAAAAGGCAACCTTTGATTCAATGTCACATATAAAGGAATCAAACCTCGTAGAGCAATCATTTCATTAAACGGAGCCCCAAGATTCAAAGCAGTAGACACAATCGTCACATTATGTTCCCGCATCCGACCCGCAAATGTCCCGGTCCCGATCCCAAAATCAACACCGACCCGTATCTCACCCGGTTTGACCCGTAACACGTCTTCAATCAAGAAATCGGTTGTCACCGTTGTGTTGATTACCCATTTTACCCTTTCCTTTTCCATTTCAAAACACCCGATGCATTTGGAGAAACCCCTTTTCGGATTCTTGCTCGATAAACACTCGAAGTTTCTACACGAATAGTGACTCCATCTCACGTTTCGCCCATCGGGTATTCTCCATAAAGATTCGTTTATCGGGTAGGGTTTTTGGTAGAGCTTTGAAGCTCTTGTGAGACATCGTCTTCTTGGTAATGGATCGCAACCCTTGATCATGAGATTTTGGGCGATGTTCCAATCGTCTTTACAGAATGACCCGATGTCGTAATCCATGTATTCTTCGAGTTCTTTCTTCATGGAGACACATCCATGGCCTATCGTGTTGTATACCTTTTCGGTTCCGTATATGTTCTTCTTTCCAACACGGTTTTCTTTCGGGGTTATGTACTTTTTGATTTCTTCTGTCACGAAAGTATTGATCAAAGGGTCTTCGTTTGTTGTGCCATTTTCGATTTTTGGTAGACGGATTTGTCGAAGAGTGATATGAGCGGTGTAAAGAGGTTGAATCACTTGTTGTTGGATGAAATTCTTGTAATCCAACATTGAGATGTTGGTTTTGGATAAATCTTTGTTTTTTTCAAGCTGTTCGACTGTGGATTCGAGGGTTTCTTGTAGGCTGAGCATTTTGTGGAGCACTTCGTCTACAGCAGCAGAGAGAGCCATTACATCGAATCCTTCGTAAACGTCTCTGACGCCATAGAATTGCTTGCATATATCTTCGTTATGTATGAAGAATCCAGCTGAATAGAATCTATATAGGCTTGAAACGCTTACGATTATAACTAGCGCTCCAAGAACAATCTGAAACATGCCTAAAATTCTCCCTAATCTGTACCTTGGAAAACATGACATCTTCATCTTAACTTCTTAAGCTATTTGACCTTAATCAAACAAATGCCACCCTAATTTGTAGTGAAGTTAAATGCATATAATCAGATATTCAACAAAACCCAGTTGAAAAAACTCATTCTGTATAGTAGAGATCTTACCAGGAGGAGTTTCTCTGTATAATCAACGACACAAAGTCCTGAAAAGCTGTGATTAAGTGGGGAGAGAATCATATGAAGCTATGGATGATGATTATATGTAAAGGTGAGCTACAAAAAGACAAGTTTCCCTTAAAGATGAAGAAGAGCTGTAAAATCGTGAATTTGAAGCATACTAAACGTGAAATGTGAAGAGGCATAAAAAACTGGTGCGTAATCTCGAGACAAGAAGCCGAGAATTTAGCTGTAAAATATTTGTGATCATAAATTGCATGTATAAATGGATAATTGGGATTTGGGAATGGGAAGCGTTGACTGAAAGTATAGTGATGGTGGAGTGGGTTAGGTTTACGATGACTATGAGTTCGGCTCATTTTCATTTTCTGCTGAAAACTGAGAAAGATTTCGACAGTTAAAGATGCAATACTTGTTTATGATATAATAGCAACTTTGCCATGAATGCCGGAAGAATTCTGTAAAATGGAGCGCAACGGTTGCAGAGACGGGGGGGGGGGGGGGGGGGGGGGGGTTGGAGAGCCCATGAAAACAACGCTTTCTTTATGCCCGCCACTTTCCATTTATGTTTTACTACGGCAAATATGTAGAATTAATATCACTTCCCAAAAACTATTTGTGTGAAAAAAAAAAAAATACTTTTTATAATTTGAAATTGACAAATCAAATATTTAAAAAAAAATTATTAAAACATATATAGTTTTTGTTCAAAGATGTTTTATAGTGCATCGGTGGTTTAATTTTGGATAATTTGTACGTTTTTGGTCTAAAAACATTAACTTTTTAAAAAATACAATTTTACCTCTAAAGATTATTTTTAGAATCAAACTACAAGGACTCTCTTCTTTTTAGTTTTATTCAATTATTATACATTAATTTTTAAAATTTTTTTATTGGATTATTTTTTTTTATTGTATTATTATATATTAATAAATATTATTTTTAATATATAATATTTATATATTAATAAATATATTTTATTGGATTATTAATTTCATTCTATTAGTTCCTTTTTTATTTTTAATGGATTATTTCTTTTTTTATTGGACTATTGTATATTAATAAATATTATTTTTAATATATAATATTTATATATTATTTTTAATAATTATTAATTTATTGGGTTATTAATTTCTTTTAATAATTCATTTTCTTTAGTTTTTTTATTAGATTATTATATATTAATAAATATTTATTTTAGTATATAATATGTATATATTAATAAATATTATTTTATAATCACTGGTTTGGATCTTGCCTCCCAATTAGGCACTAATTATTTTTAATTAAATGATTTGATGTTATATTTTTATTCTTGCTAGCCATTTTAGTTTTGTTATAACCTATCATTTGATTCTTAACCTGATTTATGTTGTCCGCTTGAATTGGGGTTAGTTCGTTCCCATATTCATTTGTAAAATCCATAATTGTTTAATGAATTGATGCCAAGTGACACATTTCAAATTGGTTATGTTATGAGATTAACTTCGGTGTAAACTAAAATTACACGTATTTATGCTTTCAAGCTTGTGAGTAGTATTGGACGTTCTTGGGAACATTCACACAAAACTTAATGCGATATTTTCATCTATCTCCTAGAGCTTGTTTAGAGTAGGTTAGTAAGGTTAAGTTTAATTCAAATAGTTTGTTTTAATTAAACAATTTGATGAATGAAAGATGCTAAAATTTGTTACTATTTTTAAGTACCAACTTAGACTAGAATTCAAATTGACATCGATGCTTCATCAACTTCCATCAATTAGGTTATTAGAACTTAGAACCAAATTGTTTTACTCTTATTTATAGTATTTATTTTACTATATGTTAGTTTAGTTTACCTGTTTTCGAATTCCCCAAATTTGTTTTATGACCTGGAATAAAACATGATTATTTTTGTGTATTTATGGATTAAAACCGAGTCTCCGAAGAGCAACCATGTCTACCACTATTACTATTATTTTTAAATCATATGTGTATATATGATTTATTGTTTGATAGATTCAACACCCATCAAACACCGTCACCACCACCACTCAGTCCTGTGATGTTTGGATGGGTGAGATTTTTCAAAACAACTTAGGATGGTGGTGGTGTTTTGGAAAAAAATAATAATCAATCAAATAAAAATGGAATTAGAAAATAAACTAAAATAAATTAATAATCTAATAAAATAATATTTTTTAATATATAAATATTATATGTTAAAAATAGTATTTATTATTATATAAGATTCCAATAAAAAAAAGTAATCCAATAAAAATTAAAAAAAAATTATTTAAAAGAAATTAATAAAAAGTAATATTTATTAATATATAAATATTATATATTAAACATAATCTTTATCTATATATAATAATACAATAAAAATGAATTAATTCATTAAAAAAAAATCAAAAAATGAATAATTAAATGATGTTAATAATCCAATAAAGTAATATTTGTTAATATATAAATATTATATATTGAAATAATATTTATTAATATTAAATAATATAATAAAAAAATAATTAATTCAATAAAAAAAGAATTAATTAAAAATAATAATGTATAAGGTGTTTCTTTTGTTGTCGTAGACTAAGCTATAAGGTATTTATCAATATATAAATATTATATATTAAAATAATAATTATTAATAATAAATAATACAATAAAAATAACTAATTCGATAAAAAAGAACTAATTAAAAAATCCATAGACTAAGCTATAAGGTGTTTCTTTTGTTGTTGTTCGCGCTGTTGTTCGGTATGTCCATAACATGCTTTGTAGTTCATCAACCCATCGTCCTTTGGCCTTGTTTGGTCTTGTTGCCAAGCCATGCACGATTGTCCGATTGGTGACCTGGGTTTGCCCATTTGCCTCTAGGTGCACTACGGAAGTGAACCGCTGATTTATTTGGAGCTCTCCACACCACTCCTGGAAGGGATTATTCTCAAATTGTGCTCAGTTATTCGAAATTAATGTATGTGGTACTCCGAAGCCGCAAATTATTTGCTTCCAAATGCATTTGTCATGTTTTGGCCGGTTATTTGTAACAACCCAAATTTCCAATTAAAAATTTCATTTTTAAGTAACGAAATTATTTCCATAAAATATAAAATTCCAATCACATTTGTTTTCAATATCCATAACATCAAACAATTTATTCATAATATAGAGTGTCCCCGATAAAACACCAGAGAGTGCATGCCGTACCATCACGCCGGGCTCTTGCCCTTAGACCCCAAAGTACCTGAAACAACCAACAAACTGTAAGCTAATACTTAGTAAATTCCCCATAACATAACCCACACAATTGACATAATCATATAAACCATATCAACCATACAAACCATGCATACAAACATATTCGAATGTTGTGGACTCCCTCCAGGGTCTTACTCCAGGATGTCACGGGCTCCCCCCAGGGTCTTATACCTATGTGCCATGGGCTCCCTAAGGTCTTTCTTGGAATGCCATGGGCTCCCCCCACATGGTTTGACATCCATCTGCCACGGGCTCCCCCCGTGGTCTTTACCTAGAATGCCATGGGTTCCCCCACATGGTCTGACATCCATCTGCCATGGGCTCCCCGGGGGTCTTCCATGCAAGTATTAGAAAGACAACTAGCATACCAAATAACACATAATGGGCCGGTCTTGGTGCCTTTGACCCATTGGTCTGACCTCAAGTGCGAACTGTAACAACCCGAAATTTCTATTCTATACAAACATATCAAGTCAATAGAAGTCAAAACAGTTGCTGTTAATTTTCAGACTTTTTAGAATAAGTTTGAGTATTTCAGGATTCACACTTTAGAGATATCAGGAGAGAGGATGCACTAGGGTTATTGTGCAACAATGTTATTCCAAAACTCTAAGAAATTAGAGTTTACTGCCTGAATAAAATATTTTCTACCAAAAACCCTAAATCTGAGAGTATATATATATGAGAACTTGTCATTATTTACATTTTTTTTTTCCAAAAACTCAAGATCCAAACCCATTTCTCCCTCAAGTATCATCCAAAAGATTTTCAAGATATTCAAACTAGTAAGTGATTCTAGCTTTCTTAAGTGATTATATGCTTTGATCTAGTGTTTTAACACACTTCTAACCGAGAAATTATTCCAAAAGGTTGGTTCTTCCATTTTCACCAAGAACACCAAGAACACACACTAGTGTTCTTGGACTTTTAGCTCATTTCAAGCTTCCATATAGTAAGTACTTCTATCCTAGAGTCTTATAAAGCTTGTTATACATCTTTACATCAAAGAAATGTCCCAAGAACACCAAGAACAAGGTGTTCACGGTTCAAGAAGTTCTTGAACCGTAAACACCAAGTAAAGGTGCCAAAGGGTGCCTTAGTCCTTCACAAGCCTTAGGGACATGTCTAAATCCTTCCTTGATGTGTTTATCACATAAAAAGCACAAAAATCTATCGTTTATATGTGTTTACGGTTTGGGGATCTCCCAAAACCATAAACACCCCAAAGTATGTATAAATGACCCATATTCCTTCCAATGCCTTAGTAACTAACATGGATCCATTCTTTGATGAGCTAAGGACTTGAAAACCCCCAAAATACCATAAACCGTATGAGTTTACAGTAGTAAATTCAAAGGAAAATGGTTTAGGAACCGTAAACTCCAAATAGGAGTGAAATGGTGCCCTAGTTCCTTCCTTAGTCACATACTTCAAGTAGAAAAGCTTCTAGGGAACTTTAAGGCTTCAAACAACAAATGGTCAAAAGTGTGTGAGCTAACGGTCGTAAAATCAAGGGTTTACGACCGTAAACTCTTTTGGTTGTGACCACAAAACTGTAAACTCCCTAATGGAGTTTTCCTTGAACCCCAAACACACTAGCCTTTCCCTACAACA